AAGGACAAAAACAACAATCATGCAATTACCTGAGCAAACCATCTACTTTAATACATTTAGACTCACAATAAGGTTCTAGCCATGGGCATTCATAAAGTTCATGGCTGGGGCTGAGTAAAAATAATGTATAAACTGAACATTGTGCAGTTTGTGGACTCAGAAAACTGTGGCCCTGGTAGAACTTGTGAAATGGTTACGGCTATGACTAAGAACGCAATACAAAAAATGTTTGATGACTATTTACTTGGTTAATTCAGGTATTTAATTTGATCTTTTAAAATGTTTAATACTCTTTTTGCTTGTGTTGTTCCATTTACTGTCCAAAACTTAAATATGCCATATAATCTTCATATTGTGGGAAGCTGGAAGCAGCGAATGTGAAAAATGTTTGCTTGAAAAAGGCGATTTATCTAAATAATTGTATTTTTAAGTTGTTGCTGCTTTACAAATGGGAATGAGTGTAGTTGCTGTATCATACACAATATAAATCGGAAGATGTCATGACCTGATGACAAAGTACAGGACAGATGCTCTGCACAATAAACTGTTCTGTCTGTTTCCGCTGTAGCTCTGCACTCAAACCCTCCCTTACGAGGGAAATTATACAATTATGAATGAGTTTGTGTTTCCTGCAGCTGTGTGGGATGTGAGGTGGAGGGTAGAAGCTTATGAGCTCTGACATGCAGATTGCAACCGTGATGGCAAAGAGGAAGACTCAAGAGAGCGAGAATGCCCAAAACTAAAAAATCTGTATTCACTCTACTGCTGCTGTCTCACATTTGTGTCTGCATGCAATATAGAATTGATCAGACAGTGAGTTTTCTTCCATTTGTATTCTCAGGATTAAGGTGGTGTTTCTGCTCAGCCCGGGATGTATGTGGGTGGACAAGGTCAGCGACCCTGTGAGGAATAAAGGTATCTAAGAAGCATGAATCTAAGGCTTTGTGACATTCAAAAATGGAGATTGGAGTCTGTTCACGATTGCACAGTGTATTGTTCATTGCTGCACGATGCTGTCTGGTGGAATTCCAAGCAACCTCAAGGCAGTTTTGCTTAGTTTTGTATGCCTTTTTGTTGTCTCAGTTGTTGCTTACTTGCTCTTTGTTATGATTCAAGTGTCCCATTGCTCTCTCTACAGCCTAATCACAATCCTGGTGTTTGGCTCTGTGAAGCATTTAGTGTAAGAACTGTTTGTTTTAATTGACATGTCACGTTAAAAAGTGTGTGTTTCCTTGCTGATGGAAAAGTCAAATAAAGGGTGATGGTAAAAGTTTTTAAACTAAAAACACATTGTAACAGCACTATATCCATATGTGTGTCATATTTTCTTTGTATTATTAAAGCACAAAAACCTTGGAATATATATAAATGTCTTCACAGAGATTCAATCCGCATTCTGTGCAGAGCTGCAGAGGTGACACTCAGCTTTCAAGCAGGATGGTCAGCGTCCTCATCTGCACTGAAAGCAATCAGAGGGAGTATATAACCTTCCTGTCTCTCATGGCCAAAGAGAAACTACCTGAGGCTCATGTTTTCCAGAACATTATTGTGTGAAAGAGCAGTTGTGAGCGGCTGCATCCCCAGCGATCTCTACCACATGTGGGTTACAGCACGTCATTTTCTTTCATTATTGGCTCTTTTGTGGGTGTGCATTTACCGCAATATTAGCTCCTAGTATAGTATTCGTTTATTAGTCCCCGAGGGGAAAATGGGTTGCAGCACATCCCAGAGGCATTTGAAAAGTTAAGACAATACATCACTGACAACAACATAGACACAGATAAAAACAAACAGACATAAGAAAACCAGATATCGGCAGACATCCTAATTTGTATTGACTGAGTGAAATGTTTGAAACATTTGAGCTATTTGAAATGATGAGACACGATGATCGAGAACATAAAAGGAAATGTGTTTGGAATGATTTGAAGGGAAGTCTGCAGTTCACTTGCTCAGATGCCCTGTTCTGTTACTGTTCATTTCTTTATTGGTAATTATTCAGATTGTTGACCTTTGCCCTTCCAGTTTTTACTGGCTTGTCCGTCGATTCAGATTGTCAACCGTGCGCTGTGCATGGTTTAGCCACAGTTGTAATTGTATGTGGATTCAATGTGTTTATGTGCAAAGGGAAGTAAACATCTGTGAGGACTGTCAATGAGGTGTATAAACGTATAAGGCAGATGTTTAACTCATTCCTTTTTTAGCCCTTTATCTATACCTCGTCTCACTTCTGCTCATTAACTTCATCAACAGTCTGTACCTCTATAGATACCTCTATTTTCTCAGCGTATTGCATGCGCTCATTTACATTTTCTGCATTAATAAGTGAAGGATTATGTCCTAACATAGACTGTGACTTAGATAGTAGAACTAAAACAAATCGTCAATTAATCGATTGGTCGTTTGAAAGCAAAAGATATTATGATATTCGGCTCACTGTTGAATACATTTTTCAAGCGAATTTCCAAAACATTTGGTGGTTCCAGTTTCTTAAATGTGCTTTACTGATGAGCTTTTTTCTCAATTTCAAATCGTTTTTTAGACCAAACGATGAATTGATGAATCAGAACATTTAAAATCAGATAATTCCGTAATGAAAATAATCATTGCAGTTCTTTTGAACATCTTGGCTCTGCTCAACCAACAACTGAATAATGTCCTAGTGAGAGGACATTAAATATCAAACTATCCCCCTAAATATTCCACAGATTATTTTCCTGATATATGCATATCAGAAATGTAGCTCACCGAGACAAATGTAGTCAGCTTGCCGAGAATCACAGAAGAAAAATAACTCTAACCACTTCCAAAAATAAACATAATTTCTCAAGCAGTCAATTATACAACTGAGATGGTTTATATTATTCATAACCCCTCCATTCAAATACGAATAATAATTAACATTTGAAACACATCATTCATCACATCAACAACAACCATAGTGGCACCTTTTAATACTTGTCTATATTCGAAGTCATTTGGAAAAGGCCCCTGGAGAACTGAACCCTCTCTGAGAATTGCGGCGCTATTACAACAGAAATTCATCCAAATCGAATTTTAATGCATAGTAGGCTTATACGATTATTAATCACGACTCTCTTGAATAATAAAAAGTTACTTAATTTATTAATTGCTCAATAATTGATCAATGTCATGGGGCTAATGAATTACCCAAAATCTCCTGCTGAGAAATGTCATGTACGTTTTTCATAGATACATGGTCTAGCGTGGGAGAAAAAAAACCAATTAATTTCATTATCATTAGCCACAGAACTTTCTGGTTATAAAAGGCTGTATAGCCCTACAGCTCACAGAACCAAGACAACACAAGGCTGAGGTTTAAGCCTATTATCCACTCTTGTATCTAGTTATTCAACGGCTGAAAAGGCATTCATCCTCCATATTTTAAGTCAAAGGGTGGTCTCTTCTCTCTCAGAAATCGGTCAATACTCAATAAATCTGTGTGTTAAGTATTTTACAAGCCATGTCTATCAGACCTCGAATCACTAAAAGGGCCATTACTTCACTGTGAGCACCTTAATAATACGCTAATATGAGAATCACAAGGTCATCCTAGAAGGAATACCGGCACAAACGGATGCATCAAACAAGCACTCAACCTCACTTGAATATTTCCACTGCACTTTCTTTTGGAGCTTGCTCATTTCCTGGGCCCTGTGTTAGTCAGCCCAAGGGTTTCCGAGTAGACGACTGTTCAAGTTTTCTCATGTGAATCAAAAGCTGATTTCTCATTAAAGGCTGCTTTTTAATAAATCTGTGAGCATACATGAAAGAGGAGTGGGCGATCCAAATGTGATAGTATGGTTATGTAATGCTGGATGTGTTCATTAGGACTGCAGAAACAGTTCATGTTTACACATCTGGTGTTATAGGTCAGTGGGGGTCCTTAGGGAAGCTCTGCTTCACTTGGGTAACATAAAATACTCTTTTTTTACAATTACAATTCAGAGAATCTGAGGAAATGTTTCAAAGTTATCTCACCATTCACAGAATACATTCTGTATTTAATCATACTTTAATTGAAAAGGTGAGTCCTCAGAATAAATACTTTACAAAAAGAGGTAGTGTATCCTTCTTTAGACATGGGAATGTGCACACAGTATGATTATGCATTTCCTATGTCCACACATGTACAACCACATGGTCATTAACATACAACGTTGTGGTAGGTAAATTAATTTCATATAAAACAAATCTGCAAAAATGTGCTGTGTCTGGTGTTAGTTGGTTGTTTTATGCCCTAATTTACATATACATTTTGTTTGCAGTATGGTGCACGCTGTGATAACTCAGAGCATGCATATCAAACAAGTAACAGTTTATATGTATTTTGTTTTAGTTGGCTCTTTTCTTGCTTTGGCTTAAAGTGGGAAATTACACCTGCATGCATACGGTGCAATTTATTTAGGTGTACTTGTCTTGTAATTATTTCGGTAAAAAATATGTATTCACGTACAGTTACAAAGTTTAAAGTGACTTAAATATGCTGATTGAGTGATGGGTTTAGCAGAACTGTCTCGAAATACGCACACTGATTGTAGATTCCGGCGTGTGGCACAATGCTCCGCACAGAGTGTCCGCTGGGAATAGTGATAGTGCACCCGCCGTACCTGAGCCGAGCCGGGTCAAAGTGAATGTTATTTAGTGTACTTCATAATTAGAAGTAAATAAAACACAGATGTCGCCGCAAATGCACTTGGAATCAGCGAGCAGAGCACCGCAGACGAGAATAATCTCTGCAAGAAACACAAATGACCAACACTTCTAGCAATGTATCATTTTGACCAGCATCTCAGCTTTCAGTTTCCACACAATTGTAGTAGCCTATACCTTCGAGTTTATAAGTTTTGGGATGCAGACACCTTACAGTAGCTACCGTGACGCAGGTGCAATGTGTGACATGTAAAATAAAATGTAATTTGGAGCAAGATGCGTAAATATTACAGCTTGACTTTAACCCACTCCCACTGTTCTCTTACCAAACAAGCTGTTCCGTTTAGAAGGAGCAGGATGAAGCCGTGGTTGGGACGCATCATTCCGGCGCGTAAAACCCACAGCTCCCCCTCCCCGGTAGCAAAAAAATGAAACGAAAAACTCCCGCACACGGGTTTTTCCTCCTTCAGGAAGATGTTCTTTCTCCGGCACCGGATTCCTCTCGGGTGACGCACGGTCCCATGTCCAAGGCAGACTAAACTGCTGCTTCCACAAACCTAAAAAAAACCGCAGAAACCACTTTGAGTCCCCCTTTTCTGTCTTTTCTTTTATAGTCAAATTAGTTGTGGTATGACAAATCCATGAATATGCGGGAGGCTTTTATCATCCATGCAAACAAATAAAGAGATCCCAGCTCAAAGTAAAATGGTTTGACTGGGGAGTGGGTTGATCATATCTGGTCATCGGAACAGAGGAGATCCTGGAGTGAAGGAGCTGCAGCCTCCTGCAGAAACTCAGCTGAGACTGGCAAGAGCTAACACACGTTTAAACAGTTTCTACTCTCTCTCACTTCCTCTCTCTCCCATTTCTCTCTATTTCCCCCTCCCTTATCTCTATCTCTCTCCACCTATCCAGCAACTCCTTCCTTTCCTCTGCCAGCCACTTTCTAGTCCTATCCCCTCAATTCATTTAGCATGCAATCAAAGGGAAACAAAGCTATTCAAATGAATAACCAGTAGCTAGCCACACAACAATTACCATCTGTTTCCCAGTGCATCTGCCTCTATTTTCTAATCTCTAACTAATATATTTAACATCAGTTTTTCTACAACAGCCTGCCCCACTCATCCACTGACGACATTGTGGGCATTTCTCATCACCGAGCTCATGGGTGGGTGAAAATCCTTGATTGGGAAAGACTGGGACTGTTTTCACACTGTTCTTGTCACAACAAAAATAACTTGTGTGTCATATGGTAATGTTGAAATCTGCAGCTAAAGGAATTTGTCCCAAAGCCTGATCCTCATGCCTGCTGTCACTTGAAGCATGATTGTTTGTCCTCCCCACAGGTCAGAGAGGGATCTTCTGAAGAGTATCGACATTCTCTCTGAGCACCGAGGAACCAGTGACCGACACCTCAGGGGGGTGTGATTGATAAAGACTTTCCCCAATAACGCACAGTTCATTAGGAGTGGGTTAATGGAGTGAAATGCAAGGTATCACTTCGCAGTTCCCCTGGCTCCCAACGGCTCCATTTCTGCTTAATTAGACTCAGAGATGGGCTTCTCTCGCTCGCTCCGTCTCGCTGAGTCTTTGCTCATCTTTCCCTGCATCTCTCTCCAATCTCCCAGTAGAAGACCCCGTCCGTATATATCTGTCTGTCACCAGGTCAAAACGTTTTCCACCAGTGCTATTTGTCTTGGATCAGCCCATTTGAAATGCTTTGATCTGATGGTTTTTCTGCACCTGCTAATAATGCAGTGGGTGTTATCTGCCTTCGCTACTGTTTAAGGGTTAATTGATCTCAGTTCTGGGGTTAATTAGCTCGCCAGGCGTAATATTGAAGGACCTGACCCCTGGAAGTCAAAGGTCAGAGGTGAGGGGGTCACCGGAGAAAATGAGGCCCTGCCGATCCAGAGCGACTGAGATATCAAAGAGTTTGGCTGCAGGGAAGTCCTTAAGATGACTGCTCTCTTCCACCCATCTGACTGTGAGCACACATACAGATTCCCTGCTCATTATGATGCAGGAGATGTTGATGAAAGATGGGAATGAGCTCATCGACTTAGGAGGTTGCTTGGTCTCTCTCTCTCTCTCTCTCCTTCTCTTTTTTTTCTTTTTATTACATTATTTCAGAAGCTAAATGTGTCTCTGTATAATGCGAGCCAGTCTCTTCAGTTGCCAAGGGTATCAGGGAGCTCTCTGGGAGAGGAAACAGCAGACCTATAAAGGGAGATCCGCTCCCCGGCCCACAATCTGAAGAAACAGCAGCCATAATAAAACGCCTTTTAAAACGGGGCATGTTCATTCATACACACACTTTCCCTCCTGCACATAGTTATAGGGCCATAACTCAGTCTGTTTTCTCTCTTGGGAACAACCAGACAAGCGGCTGCTATTTTTTACTCACTTGACGAAAAAAGAGAACAGTGTGGATGCTAAGATACCCATCAATTGACACACAGGATCGACTTATCTTAATGTCGTTCCACAGACGTCTCACAGCAGCGTGACAAATAGGAATGTGTGTTTGTATATTTTCTTTTATTCTACTTTCCTGCCAAACTCCCAACAATTGTGCTCAATCATTGTATTGCTTGACACGTAATCCTATTTCACAGTGTAATTCAGTTTGAATGAGGAGCTGCAGGCAACAGACATCCTGGTGAGATGTCAGGGACCCGGGCTGCAGGATGTATACGTGAGTGTTGGCTGCCCTCTAGTGTCTCTGCTCTCTTCTGCACCCCAGGGTGGAGGCCAAGCTTCAGTAGTGATGGGGTACAAATGGGCGATGGAGGTCAATTAAAGGGTCAGTTCACCGACATATCATTACATCAATAGGTATTTAAGCCTACAGATAGTGTTGCCTTTGTTTGTCCAGCTTCTACAGAAGCCATGAAAGGCAAGTGGGAGAAAAAAACCATTTGGTGATACTATTTCTAAATGTTATTTAAATACAGGGTTTAAAACAAACCCTGTATTTAAAAAAAGTAACATTTATTTAGCAAAACTTACTAGCACTATTATGTTCTTGTGTATTAAGTGCATGTCGAATATAAAACTCACCTGGAGGAAACATGTGTGTCTTAAGCGTCTTTACATGAGGTAGTGGTGCACTTCAGCCTTTCCTGATTAAAGTGATTGAACACTAAGAATAGCTGTTCTTAATCATGAACACATAGAGAAAATAATGTATTACAAATTATAATCATTGTATTTTTTTTCCACTTGCATCTCAGGGCTTCCATAAAGTAATATATCTTTAATCGACAATTGTTCTACCCCTAAACAAAGGAAGTGCATTTAGATCAGGTTGTGGTGTTCACAGCATTGCACATTTGCATGGACAATTTACAGCAGCATGACCTTTTAATAGAAAGTGTCCTTGTTACTCTGAATTACACACAGACAACACATTCAACTACTTTCTTAGGGATCATGTTATTTCTCCATTACAGTCCAAGAGGGCTCAGGACTATCCCACTGTGAAATCACCAATTGTTTGACCTTTTAAGCAACACACTTTCATCAAGTCCTCAACTATGCAGATGTTGTTAAAATAAAATTTAAACAATGTTCAATGAAAACAATAAACAGTGTATGGGTTAAGGTTTTAGTTGGACACTGAAACTTGGCATATTTCTTCTGTAGAAGGTAGATTCAATAAAAAAGGTTTAGAGGGGTTCATCCCATGGCACTATATCTGGAATGTGGTGTGGATTTGTAAATTCTTTAAATGCATGCAGAAATGCCACAAACTACTATCTTAAAACCTGATGAAACAATACCAGTAATATTTGATAAATCGTGGTCAGTAATAAAATATGTTTCTTTTTTTTATATATATTGTTATGAATTATATGATGATGCTCCTCTCATTTGTAGGGAGTTGTGAGGTTAGGGGATCACTATAATGCCCTCTATCTTTATTTTTACGTTTTATTCTTTCCTACTTATCTTATTTGTCTGAGATTTTGTGTTCTGTGCTTTATATAAAAAAGGAAATACATGTTGTTTTTTTTAGAAGGATCACGTTTCATGGGAGTAATGAATCAGATGTTTTTGTATAAATCTGTTTATTTTTTCGTTTGCATTTTTTACCATGCTGCATATTTTATTTATATTTGCAAATTGATTTCACATGGCTAATTAAGTTGCTATTTGTGTTACCTGCCTGGGGACTACAAATGTAAATAAGCACTTTTGCTAATGTCTGCATTTATACATCATGTATTTTATACTGATATTTATTAAGTTGCCACTTCCCCATTAAATAAACAAATACATACAAATCATGTGATTCAGCTGTGCTTGTTAAACTGAACTACAAATGTAAGGAAAGGAGTGAGGATTAATCCTGAGCTCTTGCAGCCACTAGGGGATGCTACAATCAAAGGTAACACATTGGAGTTAATGAGCCACTCTGACTGTGTGCAGACTACTGCATGCAAATCAATAACCATCCTTCAAACATGGGAGAATGATGCCTGTCAACATGAACAAAGTGTTCAGAGTGTTTTTGTTTGCTGTAACTGTTTCCTCCTATTGTGTGGAGCGCATTAGCGAAAGGTAAGATATCTGTCTATTTCTGGCTGGTGTTCCTGGTTTAGGACATTATAGATCGTATCAAGCTTCAAGTCTGGAACAAATCTATCTTGTTGCAGTGTGACTCAATCCGATGTAATGCACCATCTGTAAACCACAGTTATATCAGGAGAAGGGGACTTTATTGTACAGAAATGTCAGATTAACACAAGCAGTTACTTTAATAATAATTCCTTACATTTATTATAGTGCTTTTTCAATGACTCAAAGCGCTTTACATATACACACATTACACATACACATACATGCAATGGTCAGATACTGTGGACAATACCCACTTTCTCTTTCTATGTCCCAGCTTTTTCCCTCCACCACCCCCTCCTCTGTCTTAATCTTTGATCTCGGAGATATAAATATAGAAGGCACTTTGAAGCTAACAATGGACTGATTGAATCTCTATGAGCTGCTCTGTGACATGGCAGTCAATCAATGTGTCCTCTGCTAATCAATGTCTTTCTTGAAAAGAGGACTGAGCCCAATAAGTGAACATGGCCAGAAGGGATAGTAGGAGTGATGACAGACACTGGCACTAGAAGTATAGAGGGCCGGGGGATGAGGAGAGGGATGAAAAGAGGTCCGGATGAACGGAGGAGAATCAAATCGGCAGCTCTGGGAAGGTCCACACACTCAGAATCCATTAATCCTATACAGATCCCCCTCTTCTTTATGTTTCATTTCCTCCGTCGACAAAAAAGAAAATAAGTATTACTTTTTCTTAATTTTTTCTTTGCCATAACCACCAACATTTTCTTATCAACCGTTTAGTCATTACGTTTTGAATATGGGTGCTTCACTGCTTTCAGTACAACACCAATACAGCAAACATTTAATGCCTCAATGTATATTTTCTCGCTCTTGTTCCCACTAAAAACCTTTTCAGAAATTGAGTAGGCCTACATCCCTCATAGCTTTGCCGTGGGATCTAATGTAAACTTTAATTGGACACACATTTGAGACTTGTCAGCTTTAAAATGTTCCCTCTTTTTTTCCTTTTTGAAGAGGAGTAGATTACTTCCAGACCTTAACAAGGAGATTTAGTCACACACTGTGTTTTCATCGAAATGTTCTTTAAATCTTATAAGCTACGATTGTGGTGTGGCTGCGGGGGAGGACTGTTGGCCACTCTGTCGCTCAAACACTTATATATCTTTATAACAAAGTAATCGGAGCAATTGTTTTGTAAAAACATT